GTTTGTAAACTGCCAGCGCGATACGGGAGAAAATCCTAGTGTGGGGTTAACGTTTTTATAAAAGAATTATAAAATAATAGGAGGAGTTATAATCGATTAGTCTATGTTTTAAAATTGGGTTTTGATTCTTCTGTTTAGCAAAATATGTACTTGTATTTCTATCAGACATTTGATGTATTAAAACACCTTATAATTTATTTGGTAATTTAATTATTTTTTGAGAAAGACAAAAACAATAGCAATAAATATAATTAACACTGACTTAATAATAGGTACTAATTATAACTTAGAACATAAATGAAAAACTCATGACGAGCAAAGTGGCTCAGGACCATGCTTTGCGGCAGTCTGTGGAGGAAGATGTTCAGTAGTGGACTTGTGAAGAGCTGTAATGATGATGATGATTCGAAAACTTGCACGATTAAATTATAAGAAATCGACGCTTTTTTATATAGGATAGGGTGACAAACGAGCACACAGTTCACCTGATGGTAAGTGGTTGCTGTGGCCAACAGACATCTACATCTATCTTCGATTATGAATCAAAATGCAGATGCGTTGTCACCCGTGAGGACTAAGATGAAATGCCTCGTTTTCTTTAAAAATTGTCTCTGGTTCTCTACACTCACTATACGAAACACAGCATCATTAAGCTACTATTTTACATTGATATTCTGTGAGAGCGTGGTCCTTCCCCGGTCGAACCGACCCATTCGTGCTACAACTATACTTCTAATATAACTGCATGGTTCTACCACGTATAAACGACGTGCTTCATTTTTTTTCATTTTAAAATTGTTCTCGTAATAATCTGATTGCAAATAAATGTTCATTATTTTTTTTTATAAATAGCTTATCGATTAAAACAAATGTTTAAAAATAATTAAATCGCGCGAATTAAAGTAGTAGGAATGTTTAAAGTGGAAATTGGCACTAAAAGGCTGGTAATTGGGTCAACCACCCTACAAAGCGTGAATATAAAATTTTAATCAAATGCGTGTAATCACTCTGGGAGCTTGTAGCAAACTAAACTCGCGGCCAACGTGTGGACGCGGCGACCAAACTCTGCCAACAATCCTTTGATCTTTTGTAAAAAACCGACACCACACGGATCTCGCGCCAACTTGCGGGCCATCGTTCCAATGCATACCAATGAAGCCCAAACACCCCGTCTACACGTTCGCCAATGCTATTGGCCACTACATTCGCCACTGTGTTGGCCAACGTGTAGATGCGCCGTAGACCTAAGCATGTTCCCAGTACGGAAGAGATAATTATAACTATATCTACTAAACGTATAGCAAAGATTTTATGTAACATAATGTCCTCCAGACCGAATATCGGTCATGGTGTGCAGTTTCAACGGAGACTAGCTGCGCAGGACAGAATATTAATGTACGAATGTGTGCGGAAGCTCGTGCCACTCTGTTCCCTCACTCGCATAGTCAGATGGAACGGCAACCTGAACGACTATCAGGCGCAGGCTTTCCGAAGCACGAGGGTCCAAAACACCGCCAGTTTCGAACCTGCAATCACATGATAAAAAGTCTCGGCTACAACCAATCGACACATATAATAGCACAAATGCAAACATATATTTTTTGTTCATAAGATTAATTTTCTCTTCACAAACATTGGTAAGTCGTTGAAGTACACTCAAGCGTTTGAGTGGCCCGCAGTGAAATGAGCAGACCACTTAGACGTTGTAATAAACCACTCGAAAATATCACAGAAAGATATTTTCAGTCGTTTCCTTTCACGAAGTTTTCGTGTTTAATTGAAATAAGGTTTTAACTGGAGAAAGTTTCATTATCATACCAAATACAAGAATATTGATTATATTTTTAACTTTTTTATTTAATAAAAGTTCTGATATTTGTATAACAAACTTTTTTATGCACCTATACATATAATTTATTTACATAGCTAATTTAAGAAAAAAATTACAGTATACAAAAGTCAGCCTTAAAAATTTTTAAAAATTTAAAGTACGGATATAATATTATATTATTCTCCACTATTATTATCTACTTACCCTCTTTTTAGTATTTATATCATACTTGAGGCTGCAAAGTGTTTGAAGCGCTTGAAAGCGAAATGACGTTTGTTAACTTCAGCAGCGTCGACACAATCCGCCATTTTGCTTATTTATTTTGTTTGTTTTCAAGTAGAGTTTATAAGTTCTTTTCTGCAATTAATTTCAAGTAATACAATGACATGAATGAACATATTATACATGTTATTAAAAATTAATAATTGGTAAGTTTTTAATATGAATACTTTACAAACATATATTTAATTTAGATTAGGTTCCCCGGTTAAAGCTAACTTAGAAAGATATATAGATAGAAAATTCTTTATTGCACTCAAACAAAACAATTTGGTACAATGGCGAACTTAATGCCGAAAAGGCATTCTCTGCCAGCTAACCTTTTGTGGTGTGATGAAAGCCAAGGTTATTTAGCTATGTGTAATAAATAACTTATTTATTCGTACTATTCAAAACGTATTATATAATATTATGTATATGTTAGTTTATACATATATACACTTTATATATATATATATATATATATATATATATATATATATATATATATATATATACATATATATATAATTATTTAAATAAAATATATACTAAACCAATAAAAACATACAATATAGTATGTGAAATTATAATAAACATAATCAATAAAATTAATAAAGTAATTTTAAATAATATGCCTCAAGCTTACGTTTAAATGGATTTATTGTAGGAGCATCTTTTAAATCTCGTGGTAGGTTATTCCCAAGTGAAATTGATGATACCTTGAAGGAATCCGAGTAGTATGTAGATTTATGCATCGGGATAGTTAGAGTTTTGTTGGTCATCGAACGGGATAAGCTTAAATATGAAAAACGCTCTTTCATATAAGCTGGGGAACAAGAATTGTGAAGTTCCGGCGAAAACGGATGTCGAGCCACTTAACTCTTGAGCGAAATTGTGATATATGATCAAATTTGCGCAGGCCAAAATATAGCGTATGCACAGATTGTGCAGACGGTCGAGCATAACTTAGTGTCCTAGAGGAAAATAGCTATTTACCATTTGACAGCGCTTACCGCTTATGATCGCCATTTTGCTTACAAGCGCTTTCTAGCACTTTTTTCTGCCAAATGCAGCCATTGTGTGTAAAAAAAAAAACATAGCACACAGTCGCAGAGTGATTGTCATTATACTACATGTCAGGAATTATACTGACATGTTAGGCCTTTCGGGCAGGCTAGGGCTTTGAAATGTCAGGCTTTGTCAATACTGCAATAAAATTCAGTCGATATAATATATAGTCAGTCGATATAATATATAGTCAGTCGACATAATATATAGTCAGTCGATATAATAAATAGTCAGTCGATATAATATATAGTCAGTCGATATAATATATGTATAGTCAGTCGATATAATATATAGTCAGTCGACATAATATAATAATATATATTCAGTCGACATAATATATAGTCAGTCGATATGTATAGTCGGTATAATCAGACGTGGGATGGATGGAATCTGCAACGTGAATTGATCGCGTGTTACAAAACCAATAATTGATTGAATTTGTTTATTTTTTCCGCGATAGTTAATAACGTCAAGAATTATTTGTCAGACTTTTAAATTTTCCATCTGGTAACCCTATCCTCACCAGCTTTTTTAACTATTATTAGTCAGTACTTGACTACTACTTTTACGTGGTAGAGCCACGCTGCAGCTATATAATGGTTGTAGCACGAATGGGTCGGCTCGACCGGGGAAGGACCACGCTCTCACAGAATACCAGCGTAAAATAGCAGCGTAATGCTGCTGTGTTTCGTATGGTGAGTGTAGAGATCCGGAGACCCTTTTTTACTGGAAACGAGGCATTCCATATTAGTTCTCAGGGGTGGCAACGCATCTGCGTTTTGATTCTTAATCGAGGATACATGTAGATGTCTATCATATGGACCACAGCATCCACTTACCATATAATGTACTCCAGACCGAATTTCGGTCATGGCCACCAGCCTTAACGGAGACTAGCCATCGGCGCAGGACAGGATTATAGTGCCCAAGGACACAGGTTTCAGTTCAGCACTCTCTATTCCCTCACTTTCATATCCCGATGGGACGGTAAACCGACACGGCCGGAAGGAGATCAGGCGCAGGACCAACGGCTTTACGTGCTTTTCGAGGCACGGGGGTGAGACACCGCCAACTTCCTGGATCCGGGCAGCTACTGACAATTTCTTAACGAAGAAACTTAATAATGGATTATTTTGGCCCGATCCGGGATTCAAACCCAGAACGTCATGATCAACAGTCGCACTACTACAACCGCTCTAATGAATAAATGATGAATAACATCTTTATATATAAAAATCAATTGTTGTCCATTAGTATCGCTAAAACTCAAAAACGGCTCGAACGATTTTAAAGATTTTTTTTGTTTTGAATGGGCCCCTAGATGGTAGGTAGGTTTTATTCACATTTGGAACCGGTAGGTGGCGCTGTTGTCGAGATCAGATGTGCGAATCCGGGGCAGATCGCTAGTATGAAATAAGTTTTACACAGATTTTCGCTATATTATATCATATCATACCCACTGCCCTATTGCGATTAAAATGCAAAAGAAATATTCATTTGCTATTATTACTGTTATATAATAAGAAATTTTTTAGATTTATATTATTTATATTTAGAATTTAAATAAAAGTATATTTTATAATTTAAATTTTTTAAAAAATCGACATTTTTGCAAGCTTGATGTATCAAATGGGAGAGTTTGATGACCTCAAGTTCAAAAGAGGTCAAATACGAAATGCAGCCATTTATTTTTTAAAAAGTCAATTTAAAAGCAAATATTCGTAATTTAGAATAGTTGTCATAGATACGAAATATTAATAAAATAGGCATTGAAACAACGAAAATCTGACACGGATCAACCGTTTTTTGTCTAAAAAATTGAATATTACAAAAATAAATGATGCTTGGTGATGAAGAAATAAAAGAAAGTAGCCTCATGAGACCCGGCGACGAAATTATAAGGTTTGATTTTCAATTATTTTTTCTTGAAAAAACAAATTATGACTCGACCATATTGAATTAAATTTTTCTTATTTGATTTTGATTTAAAATTTGTTTTTTTACAGTATACAAGAAATTTGTTTGACTGACAAACTTTATAAAAAGGAGTTGGAATTCGGGAACGAACCTCTTTTTTCAAGTTCGATTAGAAATGAAGTGAGTACATATATAATACCACTTAACAGAGTGGTGTACTTATTAAATAAAATTTTAATTAAAACATTACAACATGTGCAATTTTATAATTATGTGCGTGTTCGAATCCGGCGAGAAACAAGTGTTTCCACACTGTTACCGATACAGCATATAAAAAGTCCGCAGTATAGGTCTTCCCATAGTTTAACTCATGGGGAGAGTTTGTAACCACTGTTCTTTTTAGTTGTTATGAGGAAGATGCTGCTCATCTTCGGGTTTTGTTTCCCTGTGTGTGGATTCATTAAACCGCTACTATAAGGCGAACAGTATATTTAATACACCGCAAATAACCAAGCCGTAAGCTAATTCTTCTCAGCACGTCTAAAATGCGGCGGTGCTCTGACAATAAGCTTTTTATAGTATAAGGTACGCCAGGGTAATATGGTCTCATCTTAAACTTTGCTGCACTATAAAACCAAAAATTGGAGAACGACAGAGACAAAAACACTAAGTCGTATACTATAACTAATATATTAAGAAAATAATGGCAAACAAGTTTTAGCAATAATTAGGAACACTGAAAAATCAAGAGTATATTATCTATACTACACAATATTAAAATCGACTAAAATATTTACTTTAATGTCAGCTGTCAAACTGACATCGATATAGGAGCGACCTTTTAAACTTTTATTATTTGATAGACTGATCAAAAGCTATCGTGTCCCACAGACATGTGACGTGATGTAGTTTTTAAGTTATAAGAAAGTGACCATAATAACCGGATGACCATATTGCCCTCACGTACTATGCTAGCTATACCAGGCGCGTTGTTGCCACAAAATAAGAAATAGCAAAAATATGGTTTTAAAATTTTGTTTAATTAGAAATATTGTGCCGTGGTAGCTCAGGTGGTTAACGCTCGCTGTAAATATAACAGAACGCGATTAACCCGGGTTTGATCCCCGACGGCACCAATTAAATTGTTAATTGCAATTTTAAGTGCTGATTTACCACGTGCTTGGCGGTGAAGGAAAACATCGTGAGGAAACCTGCATATCAAGACATGTGAAGTTCGCCAACACGCATTAGGGCAGCGCGGCGGACACTTCCTTGCCCTAAAACCCTCTCAGAAATGAGGGGAGGCCTGTGTCCAGCAGTGGGACATATATAGGCTGTGTCTTTAGAAATATTGTTACTTAAAAGATTGTTAACACATTACGCTACGCGTTAGTACGATACGCGCGTCATCTATTGTATTTTAAGCACATCTATAACCTTCGCGAAGTGCAAGCATGGTATGACTATGTGTTGACGAACGGTATGGCACGGCATAAAACACGATCTAACAAACATCTATTTTTATATATTAGATAAATAAATAGGTTTCATTTATGCGCGTAACATTGTGGCACTTTGTGCCGGTGTGTTTGATAATTTGCGGCAGCAATCGGCCGTTATATGCCTCGCCATTACCAAAGTCTTTTGGGATTTAAAGATAAAATGCACGACTACTCGCAAACAGGTGGACTGTGTGCTCGTTGGACACCTTACTTATATACAATTAACAAGTTGAACAAAATATTTTTGCAGTTGGAGGTGCCCCGTTTCCTTCGCGACGGCTTCTTTCCAGATGGCTCGGATCAGCAGCAGGCCAAGTTTGCCTGGACGGAGGAGGACGGGAACATCGCTGCTCTAGTCTCCGAGCCTGGCTTCGGGACCACTGGGCAGACCACTTTCGGCAAGAGTTTGGATGCAGCCTTAAAAACTGAAATGAAGGTAAAATACGTATTATTTTATTTAGTGCCTGTAAGCTTAGGAAGTATTTATTTATTTACTAATTTACTTTTGTATTTTTATGCACAAAAAATATTACATAAGGCGGACTTAATACCTTAGGAATTCTTTCCCAGTCTATCATTAGGCTAAGCAGATATAAAGATATAGGAGTTAGTGCATCAAAAAAAAAAAACGAAAAAAACATTAACTAAGTAAGGACAAAACGGGATTATTAATTTCTAACCATTTAAAGTAAGAACTTTAGTTATAGCCTTAATACCTTCCAATCCTGGTGTTCCTTTTCTGAGAGGGTTGGACAACACCACACGCCATTAAGTCATCACAGAAGTTATCAGACTTCTGTACTTCGTGTGTTCTAGGAGGCGGATACGTCGAGCTCCTCATTCCAACCTACGAATCGAAATGCTTTTTCTTTTTTTAAGAAATCTCACACGGACCCTCACATCGTAACGTCCACGTCCGCTTCTACATCCAGTACCAGCATAGGTAAACACTTATTATATATTTAATATTAATGGGATTTTATATTATATATTTTTAGTTGACTGCCTCGTTGGTTTAGTGGTTGTAGTAGTGCGACTGCTGATCATTAGGTCCTGGGTTCGAAACCCGGGGCGGGCCAAAAAATTAATTATTGAGTTTTTCCGTCAAGAAATTTTCAGTAGTTGCCCGGAGTCAGGAAGTTGGTGGTGTCTCATCCCCATGCCTCGGAAAGCACGTAAAGCCGTTGGTCCTGCGCCTGATCTCTCTCCGGTCGTGTCGGTTTACCGTCCCATCGGATTATGAGAGTGAGGGAATAGAGAGTGCACCTGTGCTTGCGCATACACTTGGGCACTATAATCGTGTCCTGCGCCGATGGCTAGTCTCCGCTGAGGCAGGCCGCCGTGGCCGAAATTCGGTCTGGAGGACATTATTATTTTTAGTTGGATCATTATACCTATATCACACGGAATACAAGCATAAAATTGCAGCTCAATGCTACTGTGTTTCGTATAGTGAGTCCTCAGGGAGGATTCTTAATCAAGGATAGAAGTAGATGTCTATGGGCCACAGTATCCACTTACCATCAGGTTGACTGTGTGCTCGTTCGTTACAATTATAAAAAAATATATGTACATACGAACGAGATTTAGCCATCGAATAATGTTAAAGAAAGCGTTCTAAATTGCTCAGCTCTAACTTCAGAAACTAGTGATGGGGATCACAACTGCCTAGACTAATTTTGAGGAATATTTCCTCTCATCGCACCAATCCGACTGTCCTGTGTGATGATCTGGCACAATAACGGTCCTACGTGCAGTATTCATAGTGGTTTTAAAAAGATTATACGTGTGATGAAACATTTGCGTTTTTTTAACTTTTAGAGCCAGTTACCGTTACCGTAGCAGCCTATCGAAGTTCACTGCTGGACATAGGCCTTCCCCATGGATTGCTCATAGGGGAGATATTTGCCACAGTTACCACGCTTACCGAGTAGGTTTGCCACCGCAGTTTTTTATTTTTAGTCGTTATTAGGAAGATGCTGCTGCCCATCTCCTGATTTGTTCCCCTCTGTCGCCTGTAACGACACTCAAGGGACGATATAGTTAGTAGATATACTTACACATCCACTCACGGTAAACACTAAAGCCAGCAAGAGCCAGTGAGAGTTTAAGACCGATTTACACTTCGACAAGTACAGTAGCGAGTTTAGTTACAGGGCAGTTGACAGTAAACGGTTAAGTGGGCAGTAGCGTTCAAACAATGTCTTCGTGGCGAGTTTAGTTAAGGACATTAGTTCATAGAGTTCGTTGGAGTATGACGTTTCAAGACTACAGAATTTTTCCGGTTTTCGTTTAAGATGGTCCTAGGATTACGTCAAGAATTAAATAATCCAGTCAGAGAAGTATTAATGGTTGTTGTTAAAGAAGTTTTTAAGAATTTTCATGAGTGCAGCATCTCGAGCACGTTTAATTTTACAATTTGAACTTCTACTATTATGTAAACATTCGTGTTCTAAATAATCCTGTACGAATTTATACGTGATATCTTCCGTCCATATTATTATTAAAACTCAATATAAAACGTATAAATATTTAATAAACAGTATCGAACAAACTTTGTGGCGAGTTTCGTTATAAATTATAATTACAATTGTACGTTTTGGCGCGCAAACGTTGCGTCCTGTCAACTTATGCACTGAACTAAACTCGCTCGTTTACATGAACGGCGAGTTTGGTTGCGGAGACGCGCAGGAGGGCAGCACTTCGCACTTAACTCGCCGAAAAATAGCTCGGCCAGCTATCCTGTTTAACTTAATCGTTAACTTGCTACTTAACTCGCTTATTGCCGTTCAAACAAGGTTCAAACTTAACTCGCCAGGTTCGCAAGTTAACTCACTACTGTACTTGTCAAAGTGTAAATCGGTCTTTAGAGCAAGTGCTTGATTTTTGTGTTACCTGATGGTAAGGCGTTGTTATTGAAGAAAAAGGTAAAGCGCACTGTTTTAGTGAAACAAACATGATTCACGCCTTGAAGAGAATTCTAAATAGCAAGTCGCGATGAAAAAGATGATGACTGAATGAGTGCAATTCCTGTGCACACAAAGTTCCTAATTTTATCAATATGAAGGGGAAGTATTTTAGATATAAAAAGCACCAATTTTATGTTTTCTTGTCTGAACAGGGAATCAAACTGGCAAAGTGTGTGTTTTTCTAAATATTTTTTTTTATAGAATAAGGGTGACAAACGAGGTGGTTTCTGCGGCCCATAGACATCCACATTTATCCTCGATTAAGAATCAAAACGCAGATGCGTTGTCACCTGCTGAGGACTAAGATTCACTCACCATACGATACGATACACAACAGTATTAAGCTGATATTTTTGGTGGTCTGTGAGAGCGTGGTCCTTTCCCGGTCGAGCAGACCCATTCGTGCTAAAACCATAGATAGCTGAATGCCTACCACGTATAACATAGTATATGCTTCCAGTTCAATGCTTTACAAGTTTAATATTTAATGTTTTCCCTTCGGAAATCTTCGGAATGCCGTTGAAAATTGTCAGATGTTGGTTGTGTAAAAATTTTACCGTTTACATCTGTGTAACACGCTTTTTCCAACACGCAATTAGCTCCGCGTGTATCTGTCTATGACGGTATCTTTTAATATAATTTTCACCAACTTGAAGACGGCCGACTGACTTGAAAAAATTGCACTCGTATCAAGGATCGATGAAAATACAATAATTTAATAACTTCATACTGGTATCCTGATGTGAATCATTAAGATAAATAAATGTCAGGATCATGACAGCTCATGATCAGTGCGTGGTTGTTTAAGTTTTTTTTAACTCTTATGTTATTATAATATTACACTGACAAAGAAGTAGACAGATTTCTTACCTATAGTAGGTAGATTCTTCTCCTGATGGACAAATGCTTTTCTGTTAGAATGTGCAGGTGCGTGGTCACCTAACATTCGATGCGTATGTTTTTATATGCGTGTTCACCGATTGCTTCCATCAGCCATGCTATCCCGTACCATCAGCCCATATTTTTTATTATATGGTCTATGTATGTTTTAAATTCGACTTCAAGGTTCATCCAGTTTAAATTTGGAAGAAAAACTTCCTCCCTTAAGAGAGGAAATATAGGAGATGAAATTTTTATCGTTACTATTTTGAGGATATTCGAATTGCTACTCTGCTTGTGATATTGTCGAGTCAGCATAAAGTGTAAAATAATAATGCAAAGACGTTTATTGAATAATAAAACCCTTATCTTTTTAGTTATTTTAAAGTCAGCTTTCACGTTTTATTAAAAGTTAATTTTTAAATAATATATTTACATATTTATATCATATTTCTAGGCAAGGGTAATCAAAGCACCTATAAAGTTGATAAAACGGATCCAAGATCTAGATACCATTATGTGAAATATGTGAAGAGAAATGGACGGGCGGTCAAGCTGTGGGAGTGTGGTATATGTAAGTAACTTTTTATTTAATTAGCTCTAGAATATCTACTTGTGGTGTTACCTTATTTTACTCTTTGAAAAGTGACTATGAAAAATTATCAGATAATGATTTCTTATATTTACGCAAACACTACACAATGCCCCACTTATTTATGTTCCCGACGTCACGGGGAGACTGAGGTGATTGACGTTCTGATGTTAAAGTTAACCTGGAGTACCGTCAGCCTGTAATTATTGATTTTTACCCGATCTAAGCATAAATAATAAAAAAGTAAAGATTAAACGCTATACAGTTTAAGGTAGTTTTATTCAATAAATTCGCAGATACTAATGTGGTAAAGCTACGCTGCAGCTATAATATTTGCTGTATAAATGGGTCTGCTCGATCGGGATCAACCAAGCTTTCGCAGACTACCAGCATAAAATAGCCGCTAAATGCTGTTGTGTTTTGTATGTGGAGTGTTGATCACCGAAGACTGGTAACGAGGAATTACACTTATCTTAGGTTTAATTTGAATCTCAATCGTTTAGGTGTGGGTTTCAATGGACCACAGCATCCACTTACCATCAGATGGACTGTATGTTCATTTGTCACTTTTATTCTATAAACAAACGATTAGTAAGCTGAAGTGGCAATGGGCCGGCCATATAGCTCGAAGAACCGATAACCGATGGGGAAGGAAGGTTCTCGAGTGGCAGCCTCGTACCGGTAGGCGTAGTGTAGGGCGACCCCCCACTAGATGGAGTGACGACCTGGTAAGACATGCAGGAAGTCGATGGATGCAGGTGGCTCAGGACCGTGCTTTGTGGCATTACTTGGGGGAGGCCTATGTTCAGCAGTGGACTTGTGAAGGGCTGTAATGATGATGAATGATGATATAAACAAAAAATCAACGCCATAAAAAAGCATCACAAGTTAGATTGAACTGGTATTGCAACCGCCAACTCGTCTTCTTCTTGTTGCGACCCTTGACACTTGTCAACAATATAATGTTAGATATTGTTAATTTGCAAACCGGGCAATGTAGAAAAAAAAAGGAGAAGCTTATTTAAGTTAAGTTGACAAACATATTCACAGACATTATTGAGGACATTTTGTTATAGATATGTGCTTATCTGCAATTTTCTTAATGAAAGCGCAGTCGCTTTTTGCTGGAACTGGTACATATATTGCTGTCTACAACTAGCATTTAGTTACATCAATACTCTTTCACTATAGTATGCTTAGTAAGTGATCAATAATAAAGGAAACATTATTTTACTTACGTGGTAGAGCCATGCTACAGCTATATTAGAAGTATAGTTGTAGCACGAATGTTTCGGCTCGACCGTGGAAGGACCACGCTATCACGGAATACCAGCGTAAAATATCATCTTAACGCTGCTGTGTTTCCTATGGTGAGTGTTGAGAACCGGAGACCCGTTTTACTGGAATCGAGGCGTTCCGTCTTAGTCATCACGGGCGACAACGCATCTTCATTTTGATTCGTAATCGAGGATATATGTAGATGTCTATGGGCCACAGCAACCACTTACCATCAGGTGGATTGTGTGCTCGTTTGTCAGCCTTATTCTATAAAAAAATACATTACAAAATTTGGTGTATTAGGGCAACATGACCGACATATTGTTTTTTTTTAGAAGATATGTTACACAAAGATAAGTAAAAAGTAAAGTAAAGTTACAGCCTATATACGTCCCACTGCTGAGCACAGGCCTCCCCTCATTTATGAGAGGGTTTTTAGGGCGGGGAAGTGTCCGCCGCGCTGCCCCAATGCGTGTTGGCGAACTTCACATGTCTTAGAAATATTTTTTATCTTATTCCTCAGACATGCAGGTTTCCTCACGATGTTTTCCTTCACCGCCGAGCACGTGGTAAATCAGCACTTAAAATTGCAATTAACAATTTCATTGGGGCGAATTTCATCACGCATTCTGTTATATTAGAGCGAGCGTTAACCATCTGAGCTACCACGGCTCTACACAAACACAAAGACATGTTACAAAAAAAGCAGGTCCATCGTCGGGTCTAGAATGCAATACCAGAACAAGTAGCCTTGAATAAATGCGTTGTCATTGCCCAGATATTCCGATCCTCACCTTAAACTTTATGAATTTTGTTTCTGGCTAATTTTTATAACTTGTTATTCCAGGTAGCCGTGAGTTTCAACATCAGTATACGCTGATGCGTCACCTGCCGACTCATACTGATGAAAGGAACTTTCACTGCTCTGCATGCGGGAAGAGCTTTAGGCAGCTGTCTACCCTCAGCCAACATCGCGCTATACATTCCGCTGAGAGACCTTACGCTTGTGAGGTAATATTCATAATATTTTATTGTTACTAAACATTGTTCCTATCTCTTTATTTAATCTCCTTTCTTAAGTTTAAAAGCCAAGTTTGCTTGAGTTTGGGGTCATTTTCCTACTTAGTCTTACTTCTCCCTTCTTAAGAGTCCTTTATGCCGAATGAGAATTCAAGTATGGTTGACACAAGAGTACACGAGATGAGACATCTGTCCGATCCATAACGGTGCTTTTAGGTATCTTGATAAGAGAACATGAAATCCTTATCAGAGAAATAAAAAAAATTATCTAATTATTAGATTTACCAATTTAGGAGATTCGATGAAAAGTTTGGCAATTGTAGTACATAATTTAATGATAGTATCATGTAAGATTAGACCCCGTTTTACGTCATGAATGAATATATCATAGATATAATAAAGAAGGAATATATACATAAATATATATTATACGGCTTGTACATACACGCCTGTCATCCAGTCGAGTAGGCAGAGACTACAGACTTATATTTTGCACGATCCTGACATACCTCTTCTCTCCACTCCTTTACAATCATATATCTACGCATACACTTTCGTCGGTTAAGGGTACTCATAATGTGGTTCATTTTCAAAATATCACCAATTTGGTCGATGAACCTTCTACTAGGGTGTCCTTTCCCGACTCTGCCATTCACATTTTCTTGTATTTCAAAAAATATTGTTTATCTATTATACATTAATTAGTTTTATCACTGTCTAATAGATCAGACATTTTTCAGCGATTCTCACATTTAAGGCGAGGAGGAGAAGGGATTCTCCCCTGCATGTATATTTGTCCAGCACGAAGTAACTGTATGGCATTTAGTGAATAAAAATATACTTTATTTGAAACGTTTTCGCATATATTCTTTATTTGGAGATAAAGGACCTATACAAAAATGTAGCCAATGAAGAATTCAATTGCAATAACATGCCCTTCATAGTATCAAAAATATTACATGGTTATCGCTTTAAAAAACGAGTACTCGAATCTTAAAGTTTTTCCGGCAATTTAATTTTAATATTTTTTTTTATTTCTTCTAGTATAACGTACATAACATAACATAACATAAACACTCACGCCTGTCACCCAGAGGGGTAGGCAGAGATTACGGACTTCCATTTGGCACGATCCTGACATACCTCTTTCGCCTCCTTTACATCCATATATCTACGCATACATGCTCGTCGGTTAAGGGTACTTCTAACGTGGCCCATTTTCAAAATATCGCCAATTTGGTCGACAAACTTTTTTCTAGGGCGTCCCTTCCCGACTCGGCCGTTCACATCTGCCATATAAATTTGCTTTGTCACTCTTTCATCGTTCATTCTTTCTACGTGACCAAACCACCGAAGCATTCCTTTCTTAATCCTGGTCACAACATCATCTTGCATACCACATTTATCTCTTATCACGCAATTTCTCACCCTGTCATTCAGATTAAACCCTAGCATATTTATTAAAGAACGCATTTCTACAGCATTTATTCTACTTTCGTGCTTCTTCTGCCACACCCAGCTTTCACTACCATACATTAACGTAGGGACTAACACAGCATTATGAATTACCATACGTGCCTGTTTTGACACATTCTGGTTCTTCATAATAGAGTATAGTGCCCCATTCACTCTATTCCCTGCATTTACTCTTCGTTCTATATCCCTATCATATCTACCATCCCTGCTAAATACACATCCCAAATACACAAACTCATCCACTTGCTCAATTAACTCTCCTTCTATTCTTATTTCACATACCGTTTTGCTTTCTTCTCTTTCAAAAACCATCACTTTCGTCTTACTTGCGTTCACTTTCATTCCCCTTTCTTTTAATTCCCAGTTCATTAATGTAACCATCATTTGCAACTCAGCCGCTGATGACGCAAATATGACTTGATCATCGGCATACAAAAGGCATTTGACGGTTAACTCGCCCATTCTTAAACCACATTCTTCATCTTTCAAAGTTTGCAAACACCGGTCCATAAATAGGTTGAACAGCCAAGGGGAAGCTACACAGCCCTGTCTGACACCTTTTTGGATGCCAAACCAGTCCGAGTAGACCCCATTGATCCTGACACAAGCACTAGAGTCCCTATAAAGAGACCCTAATGCCTGTATCAAACCAGCGCTCAACCCATATGAGTTCAGTGTTTGCCATAACACATTCCTGTTCACTCTGTCATAAGCCTTTTCCAAGTCCATGAACGCACAAAAAACTTTCTGGTTTTTGGCCAAAAACTTCTCCGCAATCATGCGCATGGAAAAGACTTGATCTGTGCACCCCATTCCCTTTCTAAAACCCGCTTGCACATCCCAAATTTTCCATCAGTTTCTTTCATAACTCTTTCAATTAACACCTTAGCATACAGTTTACCCACAATACTAAGCAAGCTGATACCGCGGTAGTTTTTGCAGTCCTGCTGTGACCCTTTTCCTTTATATATTGGTACTATAACTGCTTTACACCAGTCATGCGGTACCCGTTTTAATTCCCAACGTAAATTAAACAAGGTGTACAGCAGGCCTGCCACCACTCCCTCTCCAGCCCTTAGCATCTCGAGTGATACTCTATCATATCCAGCTGCCTTACCTGCTTTCATGCTTTTCATTGCTTTCATTATTTCATCTACACTTATCTCCATACCCCTTTCCACTTCTTTCGGAATTTCTAGTTCATTTAATTCATACGACTCTTCACTCATAAACACGCTTTCAAAGTATTCCTTCCATTTGTTTAAATTCGAAACTTCATCATTCAGAATACATCCATTCTCGTCTCTTATAGCATTTATTATAGGCTGTTTTGTATTTCCCCTGGCAGTTCTTACGAGTTTCCAGAACATTTTTATGTTAGCCTGGAAATTATCAGATATCCTTCTATCATTCTTATCCATTCTTTCTTTCTTTTTCCTTTCAACAACTTCTTTTACTCTCTTATTTAGACGTCTAAATTCTGCCTTTTTTCTTTCAATCTCATCATTCATACCAGAAGAATTACCAGCTTTGGTTGCTAGTAAATCTAACCATGCTTTCTTCTTTGATTCAACTTCCACCCGTACCTCATCATCCCACCACAACGTATTACTTTTCCTTTCATTTGTTCTTTTACTTACACCACATACTTCGGTGGCGGTATCCACGTAACGTACATATAATAAAGAATTTAAGTATTTCATGTAGGCGCACATTTTTTTGAGCATATAAACTATTTTAATATGTATCAATTCTCGCGCGTAAATCGTGTCTGGAATACGATATATTGATTATCTTGCCTTAACTTCTATATAAGATAAAAAAAGACATTTTAAATCCATTTTTTTAACCAGGTCTGCAATAAAACGTTTAACCGAGTTTCCACCCTGATATCCCATCGCAAGACCCACTCTGATGAGAAGCCGTACAGGTGTCACATCTGCCCAAAAGGATTCCATCAAAAAGGTCACTTTCCTCTTTCTATCCTAATCCTTTATCCTATAGCCAGCTTTAATCTTAAAAAAGTTGATATTAACTACACTAGCTTAACCGTTAAGCCTACGGATTACACAACATAAATGTCGTGGATTCAAATATTGTCGTGAACCACTCCTAACGCAACAATTTTAAGTTGAATTGAAGTGCACATAGAGAATATTACCACTGTTAATAGCTCAGCTGGTATTTAAAAAAATTGCAAGTGTTTGTCAATAATTTTCATTTTCCTTTATTTAACAACAACCAGTTTATATTTCTATAAGTATTCGCATATTGGTAGAACCACGCTGCAGTTATATTATGGTTGTAGCAGGAATGGGTCGACTCGACCGGGAAAGGACCACGCTCTCACAGAATACCAGGGTAAAATAGCAGCTTAATGCTGCTGTGTTTGTCGTGTCGTATGGTGAGTGTAGGGAACCGGATACGCTTTTTACTGGATACGAGGCATTTCAACTTAGTCCTCAAAGGTGACAACGCGTGTGTATATTAATTCATAATCACACACAAAGCAGATGTAAATGCAATAAATAAATAAATATAATCGAGGATAATCGGAGATGCTTATGGGCCACAGCAAACAATTGCCATCAGATGGACTGTGTGCTCGTTAGTTACCCTAATTATATAAAAAAATTAATAAAAGTAATTTTACGGATTTCTTAGCGTATTTTTGCTTTTTAAGATGCACCTACTTACACTAAAATTTTATCTGGTAATAAGTTGAAATGAAGCCCACTAGACGGTAGTGCCAAAAGCCTATTTTCACTTGCCTTAAATACGCTCAGTTTGTAGTCGGACGGAATGACGCCGACATATCATTCCGCTTACCCGTATCCAATACGAAAGGTGAAGTCCAATGGCGGAGGCCTATGTTCGCAGTGGACTTGAAATGATTGTAATGATGATGATGATGACGAGGACAAGGATTTTAATTATATTTTGTCTATTATAGACCCACCGACCATCTGGTTGTCCATGTAAGCATGTAATTCCTGCGCACACTAAGTTATTTTATTTACTTCATGATTGTCACAATTAAAATAGTTGTTCTTATATGTTCTTCTGTTGAATTTTACTTATTGCTTTTATAGGAAACTTACGCAATCATCTCTTTACACATACTAACGAAAGACCCTATCGCTGCAACATTTGTTTCAAGGGTTTCAATCAGCAATCTAACCTCGTGTGTCACAAAAATAAGGTATTTTAATTTGAATTTACTTAAAATTAATTTAATTAGATAGATAGATAAAAGCGTTTATTTGTTTCTCCAATCAACACGGTGAATTCAGTGACTAAACTAGATATACAAATCAAAGTATTATGAAAAAAAAAAACACAACTTAAGATCTAAATGTACATGTGTGTTGCAGTTTAACAAATGGGTTAAAGCTCAGCGATTAATATTGCTCAGAGAGCAAACACTGATTTTCAGCTATTACCCTCGAGGTGGCGAGATGAAAATGAGCACAATAGTACAATCAGAAAGAAAGAAAGAAAAAACTATTTTTTGCACGTTACAATAAAATACAATACCCTTTATTGAACACTAAGAAAAAAACATAATAAGAAACAAGCAAAGAGAAAAACAAAAGGCGGTCTTATCGCTATGCATCAATTTCTTCCAGACAACTTAAACACGTTAATATTATTGTAGTGTAAATATTTGTGAATGATGTGTCCTTTCTGCTCTACGAATTTTATCTTGGGCTTAATTTAGTAAAAATTACGGAAAAGATGTAAATTACGGAAAAGACTGCGTACCCAATTAAGGCTAGTACCTAAATGATTTAGCCAACCATGATGAGTTAGTAAAAGAAAGACGAAAATGCCATGGTTTATAGCTGGCAAACGAAGTGTTTGGGAATACCTTGTTTTTGTTTATCTAGAAGATATGTTTTGAATTTATTTTTAAACTTGTAGATGGTGTTAAGATTAATTAAAAAATGTTTTACCGTTTTTCTGATATCTTACGATGATAATTATATTCTAGCTCTTACAAATAAACTCTTGCAAATCAATGCAAATAATGGTAATAACAAACTATAGCTTATTATTTTATGTTTAATGATAGAAACATTGATTATACCTATGAAATATCATGCCCAGAACTTAAGATATATCGAGGTTATAAGCAATAACAGATAATTGTATTAATGTCTATTTGTGCCGAGTGTGTGCCGAGTGGCGCTAGACCATTTATAATTGGCCACACCACACCCTATTTGGCTAAGGAGTGTCGACGATTAAGGCAAATTTGAAATGTCAATGGGAAAGGTTCAGGTTCAGAAATGGACTGTCGGAGTTAATAAAGAAAGAAACAGTTAAAGTCTATACGTCCTACTGCTGGGCACAGGCCTCCTCTTATTTTTGAGGAGAGGACGGTTTTAGGGCAAGGAAGTGTCCACCGTGCTGCCCCAATGCGTGCTGGCGAACTTCACATGTCTTTGTTATATTTTTTTTTTCTTATTCGTCAGACATGCAGGTTTCACCTCACGATGTTCCTGAAATTTACAGTGGGTGCTTATCCTCTGGGCTACCACGGCTCAATGAAAGAAAGAAATTTTAGTAATACTTACTTAACTTTCTAAATTAACAAGTAAAAACTTAAGCCTACTTTTACGTATACATACATATATATAAGTTACGCTAAAACCAAGCAAAAATCACGCTCAACTTATATTGTAAGAACACGCACTAACGTACACTAATTGTAAATCTTGTACATCTAAAATCCCTCTCCACGAACAACATGGTGGTAGGTGCATATGTGTACGTTCAGTAGTGAGCTATTAGGGGCTGATAAGGTAAGAAACTAGAAAAATGTGTTTTTGCGTACACGTCAAATGTACACAGTGCTCCGTTGATCTTTCTTCTTTGGTCTAAATTTCTTACTAACAGAGACTTATTAAGGGATTTATATTACTATAGTATTTGTGAATTTCTAGAATCATTATGTATTTTAGAACACTCGAATCAGAATTGATATAATGTTTCCAGGCGCATCCAGATGAAACCAGCATTGGTTCTTGTGGTAGTGGACGTAGTATTCCTCGCTCGGTAAAATCTGTCTCCGTTGCTGAGAATCAAGTCGATTCTTCGAGGTAAGTTTTTAAACATTAATAATAATAATAATGTCCTTCAAACCGAATTTCGGCCACGGCGGCCTGCCTCAACGGAGGCTAGCCATCGGCGCAGGACACGATTATAGTGGCCGAGTGTATGCGCAAGCACAGGTGCACTCTCTATTCCCTCACTCTCATAATCCAATGGGACGGTAAACCGACAGGACCGGTAGAGAGATCGGGCGCAGGACCAACGGCTTTATGTGCTTTCCGAGGCAGGGGGGTGAGACACCGCCAACTTCGTAACTCCGGGCAGCAACTGAGAATTTCTTGACAGAAAAACTCAATAATTGATTTTTGGTCCGACCCGGGGTTCGAACCCTGGACTTCATGATCAGCAGTCGCACTACTACAACCACTAGAACAACGATGCTTGGGTTGGGTTTTCCTAGCAGAAAAACAAGGTTGTCGGCATTTTTAAACCTAAATATTAATGTGATCAGTTGAGTGACAGATTTCACGTTTTTCATTTCTGATAATTTGCATTTGCAAAAATGTATAAACAATGATTACTTTTTTATATATAAAACTAGCGTTCCGCCTCGGCTTCAATCTCGACAACAGCGCCACCTAATGGATCAATATGTGTCTCAACCTTCTAGGAACCCATTCAAACACACAACAAACTCATCTCAATCGGTCGAGACGTTTATTGAGTTTTAGCGAGACTTAACGGACGTCAAATGATTTGAATATAAATAGAGATATGTACATAAGTTGTCCAAAACAATTATTTAAATGCAATATTAATACCAATTTGTCTCTTTTTCGAATCGAGTCCCCAAAAAACAGGGCTGCAACAAAACGCTGAGTAACTGCGCTACCATTATCATCATCGTCGTTGCAGCCCTTTACAGGTCTAATGCTAAACATGGCCTTCCACAAGTAATACCACAAGGCACGGTCCTGAGCAGCCTCGATCCATCAATTCTCAGCATATCTTACCAGGTCGTCTTCCACCTAGTGCGGGGCCCGCCCTACATTTTGCTTGCTGGTAAAAGACTGCCACTCTAAAACCTTTCTCTCCCACAGGTTTCCGGTTTATCGATACTACATAGCCGGCACATTGCAACTTAATTTACTGCATTAAATATTTTAGTGTGACTTAAGTGCACTTGACCGTGCTTTATGACATTCCTTAAGGGGAAATATAATCTCAAATGGCTTAGCAAGATCCTTTGTTATGCCGAAAATATTTCAGCATTAATTTTGAAATAAATATATGGTAAAGTTGAGGATATGTTAGACGAAAACACGATTTTGTAAAATTTTCTCGATAGAAAAAAAATCCAAAGTTACCTCCAAAATAAACAATAAACCGCTGTTATTTATTATATACTTTAAATAAGATCATGAAACTTTGCATACTTACTGAACTAACTACAAAGCAGTGCTTATGTTATTTACTATTTTTTAAATACCATTATTTTCACTATAAAAAGAAATTACCTAAACTATCGGCCTCTTGAGTCGTGATTCCTGCGGCCCGGTCACTTCGCTTCGGCCTTTGAAGGGCGAGGTTGTGTCGCTTACGATCAGAATATACATTACGCAACAGGACGACGTAAAATTAAAATGGGAAATAACCGTAATAAAAATAAGAAGTGGCTGGCTTGGCGTTAAGAAACAGGCATAAATATGATAAAACTAATGAAATAAGTGTCTAACGACCTTTCTACTTACAGTATTAGTGATTACAAACATGTCGGTACATAGCATACGACGCGCGGGCAAGTGGGGATTAAATTAGAATTTGAGCTGACTTACTCTATCCCCTTAAGGGCCTATGTTAAGCTGTGGACTTATGATGGATTGTAATGCAGAAAAATCGAACTGTAGAACTTGAGAGGGTAATAATGTCAATAGGGAAACTTTTGTTACGGAAGAAGCAATGATTATACGGCGAACTTATGGTAAGCTATCACCGCCGCCCATGGACATTTGCAATACCAGATAAATCGCAGGTGCTTTGCCGACTTTTAAAAAAAGGATTAGGCTCCTTTCTTGAAAGTCCCTAAGCTACAAATAATAATCCAAGGCAAGAGTGAATAAGCTTTTGTTAAGTCAGTGCGTTTAACCATCTTCGGCCGCATCACCACCACTGTTCATCAGAAAATAAAATTTCTTAAAATAGGCCACCCCTAAAGATTTCTACAAACACGATAGCTTTAACTTAAATTTTTAACACAACCATTTTTATTTTAGAACATCAAACGATTATTGCGAAGTGAGCTCTACAGTCGGCCCCAACTTACAATCTGTTGAAACTCCATCTTCGTCTACGTGGGCTTCAAAATCAAGCGTTTGGGACGTTCCCAAATACTTTCCAGAGCCGGTAGATGCCTGGTGCTTCATTAATCCATGGAGTGCTATGGGCAGTGGTGTTTTTGTTGATCCCATAAAAACATACCATATGCAGGTCGCATTGGCGACAAAACAAACACCGTTTGCTTTACTTAAACCAGATAAAGGCGCTCCGGTATTAGTGAAAGTTGTAGACACAAAGCATCTTGGCGGTAAGCAGGTACGAGTAAGTGGTAGTCGCTGTCAAAATGTATAGTACGTGAGGGTAATATGGTCATCCGGTTAATATGGTCTCTTTCTTGAAACTCAAAAACTACAACCTTATTTGCATGGACGGCATTGTGATACGATAGCTCTTCATCAGACAATCAAATAATAAAGGGTCATAGGGGCGCTGCTTTAACAGTTACGTTATATTAAATACTTCAGTTGATTTTAGTACGGTGGTTAGTTTATTTATATAGATTTTTCGAAGTGTTTCTAATTATTGCCAAACCTTGTGTGCTATTTTTTTCTTAATATATTAGTTAAAGCATATGCCTTTGTGTTTTTATCTCTGTCCTTCTCCTATGTTTAGTTTTAAACGGCGACAAAGCTTAAGGTGACCATATTACCCACACGTACCTTATTTAGAACAACATCTTCATTATCATTATCAGTTCTAGTATCTGATTATAATAGGATGCTGTTGTCCCATATCTTTCCTGTGAAATCTTTCTTCGACTAATATTCAAAATGAAATTCCTTGTCACCCGTGAGGACTCAGATGAAATATCTCATTACTAGTCAAAACGAAATCTTGTTCTCGTCATTAACTGTAATAATACAGTTTCAATCTGTTTCTACCACATACACGCTTATTGTAAATTGTATAAAATATTATATAGTTATAAATTTATGTTTAAAATGAATGTCCTGCTAGGTTTCTAGCTGGTTTATCCCAGAACAGAGGTTTTCATTTCGAAACAGTGGTGGTAAAAGTTAGATAACTTTCTAAGTATCCTTGTAATCTGTATGGAATAGAAATTATTCTAGTCTTTTCTTGGAAATCGCAGTTTCTTACTATCTTGATCTGGACGTCACAAGAGGCAGTAGAGAGAAACCAGTTTTGGTTTCTCTCTACTGCCTCATATGTCATCCGCGGGACGATATGGGTTCGAGGTTCAACTGCAACCACACGATAAAATTTAATCGGCGGGGTATGTAGTGAAATTCCCTATTTTTTTTGCTTATATTATAACCCTACTTAGTCTGCCTTTAGCGTTACTGTTACTGTTAGAGCCGATTACAGTTCGACAAGTACAGTAGCGAGTTTAGTAACAGTGCAGTTGATAGTAAACGGTAAAGTGGGCAGTAGAGTTCAATTGTCTTCGTGGTGAGTTAAAAAAAAAGTACAAGTTTTTATTTTGAAAGTAACACTTTGGACTTAATTCATTGAAAATCCCGTTAAATTTAATTGTCAACTTGCTACTTAACTCACCATTGCCGTTCAAACGAGATTTTCTACTTAACTCGCCTGGTTCGCAAGTTAACTCGCTACTTTTCTTGTCGAAGTGTAAATCTATCTTTACAGCATATTAAAGTACATTGCTGAATTCAGGCCACTGCCATAGATTGCTTATAGGGGGGATATTCGCCATAGTTGCCACGCTTGGCAAACGGGTCGGTTGTAGTTTTATTTTTAGTCGTTATTTGGAAGACGTTGCTGTCCATGTCCTGATTTATTTCCTTGCCTGCCATTATATTAATAAAGAGCAATACGTGCGAATAGTTTAAGTGTGTGTCCCGGTCATTCTGTGCATTTTTTGGCACTGTCTTGCGCTTTACCGGATATGCGAGTTAAAAGGTTTATACAAAAAAAAATATCGGAAGTAGTCACTTTTATATAAATCATCGGGGAGAAAAATCATCATCATTAACATCATTATCATCATCGTCATCATTATTATCATCATCATCATCATCATCATCATTATCAACATCCTTTTCAATATATATTTCTCACAAGTAGTTTACTTTAATTTTAGATGCTGGTGCCAGCCACCGCCGAAGATTTGCGAGACGGTGGCAAACTTATTGTGAGAAATGACGACAGCCCTGAAACCCGGGTATTTTTAATAATTACACTAGTGTTCTTTATTTATAATGAAAATCAATACGTGAACTTTTTGCAGTAATTGGTTCTAAAGCCGACGAGTATCTAACGTTATTAAACAATATTTTTTAGTACACCGTTACTGTTACAGCCTCCCCTATAGCGTCATATTTTATTTTATTTGTTTGTCATAGTTGCCACGTTTGACAAAAGCAGGTTGGCAACCAGTTTTTTTTATTTTTAAACCATTATTAGGCTGACGCTGCTGTCAATCTCTTGATTTGTTTCGCTCTGTCGCCTACGACACCCACGGGATGATATGGAATAGTGGATATTCTTACACCGCCACTACTCGGTATATATTTTTACTGGAGCAAAAGTCGTTTTCGAAAACATTTCTACATGGAGAGTAGAAGTATTATAATAGTGTGTTTTAACTCACAAATTAACGGTACGTATACAGTGTACTGATTGCCAATTTTAAGTAACAAACAAACCTAAAGCCCATGTGATAGGAAGAGGCTACTGTTCTCCATTGACACATGCAGACAACTTTAAACAAGGCTACTGATGAGTTGTCACCTCTGAAGACTAAGATGGGAAACCTCACATCCTGTAACTATACTGGCCTTCTCCACACTTCAAACCGGAACACAGCAGTGCTCGTACTGCTATTTGGTGGCAGGAATAATTAAGAGGGTGGTACCTATCCAAACGGATAACTTGATAGGAAGTCTTACAACCTGAAAATAGACTGCATTTTACTGATGCCATGGAAGTGTCATAACGGAAGCAGAAACAGAAACGGAAGTCAAAAGTAAATTTTAGCAGAAACAGAAACGGAAACGGATGCAGAAGCGGAAGTCTTAATACTAAAAAGTACAATTTATGACAAATATAATTTTTTATTAAAATGACATTTAAAATGAAGTATCGGTAACTTATATTTTATAATCTGGAAATTGGTTTCGGTGGTCTTCGTGTATATATAGCTTCGCTAAATAATTGCTCATTGGTGACGCTGCTTGGAGGAACTGTTAAATACTGACGAACTAACGGCAAAAGAATACGATGTTTGTGTGCATTTCATTTCTTCCACATACTCCTAAAGGTGGACGACGTCTGTAAAAGACTATGTCACTCTTATTACTGATGCAACATGGATTCTAACTTTTGTAATGTTGGACTTCGTTCTCAATGTGAGGTCAGCCTTTGGGGAAAGGTATGCCGTCATCAAAATTCCGATCAAATTTCCATTATAAAAGTTGCGGAAACAGAAGCAGAAACTGATGTCAAAAAGCGTGCAGAACTTAAGAACAGAAGTCTGTTGCATCGCTACTACATTTTTATTTTAATACCCCCGAAAAAAAAGAGCGGGTGTTAGACGTTTGACCGCTATGTGTCTGATGAAACGGGTGAACCGTTTTGGGTGCGATTTTTATTTATCTAAAAGCAGGTTTTCTAGCGGTGGTTCTTAGACATGTTTAATCAAAATCGGTTTCAGCCGCTTGAAAATCATCAGCTTGTTTTATTTAGGTTTTCAAAATTTCAATTTTATTATATTATTAGTTTATTATGTTAACATCCTAACGAGAATCTGTGACTCATTTGTCATGTTTGTTGACGTAAAATAACAATACAATAGCGTTTTTTAATAGTTTTGTTCTAAAAATATTCGTAGGTGATAGTTTCAAAATATTCTTTTATTTAGCATGTACGCGGTGCACACCAAGACGTTGATCTTTCACATAATAGGGATAATTTACCATATCGCGATACTTGGTAGGTGGATTGGCGATCGAAGTTTGAGATTTCTGTTATTTTCGATGTAACATAATACAGGATGATTTTGCTAAGGCAGGGCAAAAAGATCTCATGCCTAACGAAACCCATATAATACGAAATATACAGTCAGTAACTTTAAGCTTGCATGATCGTAAATTATGGCAAGCGGATGATGATATTTTTTATTTTTCCTTTTATAGTAATAAAAGGAGAAGCTAATAATATGAATTTAAAGGTGAGAAATTATTTTTTTGTAAGTGTGTTGATAATGGTGCAGTTCAAATCTCATGCTAACCTAAATATAAGTTAATTTTGTGATGTAAATTATGGCAAGCTGATGATGATATTTTTTATTTTTCCTTTTATAGTAAAGAAAGAGAAGCTATATTGAATTAGGTGAGAAATTTTTTGTTCTGTAAGGTTGGTGAATCCGTTGATAATGGTGCAGTTCAAATCCGTGTACCAGTTGTGGCGACTGTAGTTCCGAGGATCCAACCGGGCGGTCAGCTGCAGTTGTGTGTTGAGGAGCCTCACCACGCTTATCACACTGCATTGTCTACTGAAGGTATGGATTCATGAAGTTGCTATTTCAGTTTATTTTGAATTATTGACCACTAATTGCTTCATTTATAATCTTGTTTATGGCTTACTTAGGTTAAGTATTAATGATGTCTTTACCTTTTTTTCCTTTCTCATTAAGTGAAAATAGAGAGAGAGAGATAGAGATAGAGAGAGATAGAGAGAGATAGAGAGAGATAGAGATAGAGAGAGATAGAGAGGGAGAGAGAAAGAGAGTGAGCGACATATAAAATTTCTTATGTTGAGGTTGACTTTATTAGGGAGACTACTTTTTTTATGTATGAAGGACAAAAAAGTAAAGAGTTGAGATATTGGGAAGTGGTTACTGCTGCCCATAAATACCTGCAAGCAACTTTAATTCTATAAAAGTAAGAGTGACAAACGAGCACAATGTTCTACTTTATGATAAGAGAATCTATGTCTATTCCTGATTTAGTAAAAAAACAGATGTGTTGGTACCTCTGAGGACCAACAACGAATGCCTCGTTACCAGTTAAAAGGGTCTCAGGTTATTTACACTCATCTTACTAAACACAGCAGATTTTCCTACTTGGTGGAGCCACGCTGCAGCTATATTATGGTAGTAGCACGAATGGGTCGGTTCGACCCGGGACTACTACGCTCTCACAGAATACCAGCGTGAAATAGCAGCTTAATGCTGCTGTGTTTCGTATGGTAAGTGTAGAGAAACGGAGACCTGTTTTACTGGAATCGAGGAGTTCCATCTTAGTCCTCAGGGTGACAACGCATCTGCATTTTGATTCTTAATTGAGGTTAAATGAGCCACCGCATCCACACACCATCAGGTGAACTGTGTGCTCGCTTGTCACCTATATTCTATAAAAATGAAACCGTGGTCGTTAGCGATAGATTTGACGAAACGAGAATGACTCCATGACTTTAATTTTATATATTAATAAGGTCAACCATTGTATGGCGTTATAGTAAAGTTGTTTTTCGAGTATGTCAATTTTTTTAAATTGTTGCAGCACCTTGTAGTTCTTTGTCGTGCACGTTACCGCCACCGGCACCTTCCCCTCCGCTCGATCTCATTCCCATGGACTTGTTCGATCCGATGGAATGCCTGCCTATGGGTGAGTTATATTTAATTTGTTTACGTGTGCGTGTTATGTACGTGTATTGTGTTCTTCGCTTATACACATGTGACTCTGAGTAAAAAAAACCGATTGAGTAGGGAGGTTCTTGTGTACAATCACGTACTAGCATAGCCCAGTGTACTGTTGTTTGAGCGACATAGAAGAGAACATTGTAAAGTGGACTAACAGCCCATATATGTCCCACTGTTGAGCAGGCTCCTATCTTTTCTTGAGAATGTTTAGAGCAACGAAGTAGCCTAATGCATTTTGAAGGACTTTACGTCTTCTTTTTTTATTTCTCTTAAACTTGGGTATCCTTACGATATTTTCTTTTATTGCCAAACACGTCGTAAATTAGGGCTTAATTACTAACCGTAGCTGTAGCGCTAACACAATTCCGTAGAGTATACAGATTTTTTGATATATTATTATTTATGCATCTGGAAAATTATTTATACATCTGGGAAATTATTTATACATCTGAAAAATTTCTCCAGCTGTAATTGAATTCATGACTTGCGGCATAGTTCCCAAGTCGTTCACCACGCGAGTATTCATCTCTCTCCAATACAATATTGTATTCGACTGCATAATACGAGTATCTTGTATTATTATGAGTTCACGAAATTCATTAAAAAAATTACAAAGTCAAGAACAGAGGTGGAAATGCTAGGTGACAGGCCCACTGACCGTTCGCCAAATTTAGAGCGGCAGTATATGGGGGCAGGCCTATGTTCAGCAGTGGACTTTCATAGACTGTAATGGAACGGTAATGGACAGGCCAGCAGGAACAGAATACTTTTTACCGTTCTAAGCTATTGATTGACGACTATCCTACCTTATGGTTTGTTCTGATGCAGCCAAAATGGAAAAGAGCTTAGTTTAATAAAAGCATATTCACTCTTGCCTTGAAGACAACCCACATTTTAATCGGAAGGAAAGACGGATTTGCAACAGTTTCAAAATTTGATTGTCTACGGACTGACAAATGGAATATATTGTATTATGAATTAATTTTAACTTTCCTTAACCATCACAAACTACACTGCAGGTCCTCAGATCACTGCGGTGGATAAAGTGGACCATCCACCCGGCTCAGATGATTCTGACATTTTTATTGGAAAATTTGAAGTGAGTTCACACTAATCTTATGCAATTATAATACAAAAGAATTCTGTAGCTACCATATGAGAAATTTTTTAATGTCACAATAGAAATAACAATATTTTTGTAGTACTGAAATCATTTTATGTATTACAGCCGTGCTGCAGCTGTATAATGAAAATAGTACCTTTTTAATAGTAACAAGTCCTTAAGGATGAAAACACATCTGCATTTCCGCTTTTAATGGAGGATATATATAGGCATCTATAGGTCACAGCATATACTGACTTTGTACATTGTAGAGCTAAGCTGCAGTTTATTACGGCTGCAGCAGGAGTAGATCAACTCGACCGGGGAAGGACCACGCTCACATAATGCCAGTGTGAAATATTAGCATAATGTTTCTACATTTCGAATGGTGAGCCGCGAGAACCGGAATCGGCTGTTCCAACTAGTAGTTAGTTTTTTTAGTCTTTAGGGGTGACAACGTATGTAAATTTAATTAATAGAATCAGGCGTTACTTTGCGGAAATCCATTATAATAAAAAATTAATTACTTCGCAACCTTCCGCTAACTAAATACAATGATGTGTCTTACCTGGATTGAAGAGCACCTCCCGCCCTCCCTCAATTGCATGCACTAACTCCGTCACCACTAGTCCCAGCACCACTACTCCCAACACCACTACTCCCGGCAACACTACTTCCAACACCACTATTCCAGGTAAGATACACCATCGAGGACAATACGACACGTGTTTCGCCTCTACACGAGGCATCCTCAGGTGATGTAGACTCTACGGCGACTGACCGCTTAGCTAGCCTAGAATTTTACACTTGAGAAATTTACACTTGAAACAGCAATTCTCGATTTTATTGATTTGGGCTATAATTGAACCGATCTGTAGTAAGGCCTAGCTTAATTGACAACAAATGATAGTAATTTTGTAGTACATTGCATTCTATATATGTAGTTCTCTATAAGAGCTATCACGGCTCATAAAACATATGACGCAATGTACTACAAAGTATCTGTCATTTGATGTCAACAAAGTTGGCGAATAGACTTGCTACGAGTACTTTCGACATAGCTTAGTGTCGTTCATCTACTATGGCACTGTTTGAATGCCGTTTTTGTTGAAAAATGTCTACAAATAACCGCCTCGTCGGGGCAAGGACTGGTTATATCAGACTCGCACCGACTAAAACCTCATGGTGTTCCACCTTTGCTGAATGTTGGCAGGGCCATGCCATGACCATAATTGGGCACGCTTTCTCACACATCCGCGGTCTTACCAGCGCCGACAGTACATATACACATATATATATATATATATATATATATATATTTATATATGTATATATATAATTATATGTATATTATTTAGATATATTTAGTTGCCTACTATAACTAATTAAAATAAATTATGTTTCAGGAAAGTATTCCACTATCCGATTCCGACTGAAGTAATTTTGAATTAAGTAAATTTTATATTTTATATGCATGCCTGAATGACTAGTTTGTTTCTTTAGTTAGTATTAAGTACAACTTTGGTAACGTTATTGTTGTCGAATATACAAATATATTTTACTGCAGTTGTCTTATTTTAAAATAAACCTATTTAACCTCACAATTGTGCATTGACTTTTTTAAAAATGTGCCAGCTCACATACAAAAAAGTCTTCTTCAAAATACGAAAGAACCGATGTTTGGTTGTTATCATTTTACAGAAGTTGAGTAACAGAGTGGGTAACAAAGTTATTCCTACTGCTGGGCAAAGGCCCTTCCTCTTTGTTACTAAAAAGTTTAGATGTAGGAAAAATATCCGCTGCGCAGCTTTTATGGTGCAGAGTATGTTGGTGGAATGCTTTCGTTTTAACTCGTCACTCCATCCAGTGGTGGGTTGCCTTACACTTCGCTACCGGTACGAGGCTGCCACGCGAGAACCTTTTTTCCCCATCGGTTGTCGGTTCTTCGTTATATATGGCCGGCCGGCCGGTTGGACTATGTCGGTCACTCCGGTTCTATTGCGGATATCTCAAACATTTCAAAGGTTATCGCGCAGAGAAACCCTGAGCATAGCTCTCTCCATAGCTCGCTGAACGATGTTGAGCTTTCTCGTATGGCCAGCATAGAAGGACCACATCTCAGATCCATAAGATCACTGGCAACACGCATTCGTTGTGCAATCTCGTTTTCAAGTTTTAAGTTATACCTGACGAGAAGATTTGTCGTAATTTCCCAAATGCTACTCAGATAAGTTGAATCCGTCAATTGACCTGTCGGTCGAAGTTGGACTTACCTAGTCAGAATATATATTGTCCCAGGTAAGCATACTCGTCAACAACTGAACTGTCAAAAGAGCTGCTCCTAACAACTACCGGCATAGGTGTGACATGGAGGTTATACATTATCTTTGTTTTGTCCATGTTTATCTTACTACTCGTCGAATTATCCGTTAGGGGCACTATTGAGGTAGTTCAGCATGGTGCTTTGGACTATATTGTCGGCGAAGGTGAGTGATGTACTCGCCATTGATGTTAATACCGTATCCTTTCCAATCCAGTAGCTTGAAAACATCTTCTAATAAAGTGGTGAAGAGTTTCGGGGTATATAACGTCACCCTGTCTTACACTTACTCTCTGCAGTTGAATTGGTTTCGTACTCTGGTTCTGAACTAATATAGCCGTCATAACCCTACGGTACAAACAGTGTTAGAGCCATGCTGCAGTTACATTAGTAGTATGGTTGTAGCACGAATGGGTCGGCTCGACCGGGGAAGGACCATGCTCTCACAGAATACCAGCGTAAAATAGTAGCTTAATGCTGCTATGTTTCGTATGGTGAGTGTGGAGAACCGGAGCCCATTTTTACTGGAAACGAGGCATTCCATCTTAGTCCTCACGGGTGACAACGCATCTGCATTTTGATTTGTAATCAAGGATAGATGTAGATGTCTATGGGCTGAAGCAACCACTTACCATCAGGTAGACTGTGTGCTAGTTTGTCACCCTAACCTATAAAAAACACTTCAGCACTTTGATATACTGACAGTCAACTTGGAACCGCTAAAGCGACTGTAGCACCGCCTAAATTTAGACGGAATCAAATGCTTTCTTATAGACTACGTACGCAAGGCAAAGTGGCAGATTGTACTCTTCGGAATTCTGTACAATTTGCCGAAGGGTATGTATGTGGTCCATGGTACTAAAGCCTTTTCGGAAACCGGCTTGTTCAGGAGGCTGGAAGTCTTAGAAACAGTACGGTGTAGAGTATAACATGATTATTTTACTGGACCGTTTTTACTGGAAAGAGAAATCTTTTACTTTTTAGAGACCCTTTTACTGGAAACAACTGTTTCCATGTTAGTCCTCAGGGGTGATAACGGTTAAATTTAGATGTCTATTGTCCACAGCAATCCACTTACCATCAGATAGGCTCGTTTGTCACCCTTATTGTACATAAAATAGAAAAGATATACAAACTACAAACTTTCTTTAACATAACCATTTTCACTTGATATAATTACTAGTTTATAACATATAGCATTCAATTTATGTTAGGGCAATTTCAATTGAATATAACTTTATCATTCAACCGGGATACTGTGATTTGGTTACTCGTAATATTAGGTATATTATAATTTTTGTTATGATTTACTCTCTAAGTTGATCTCTAAATATTGGATATACTGTGATAGATAATAACAAAAAACTTATATATAAATCTTGGCAAAAATAATAGTTACGTTTTTTTAAAATAAGGTTCGTAATACGAGCCTTGACACAGGATGGAACGCGCTCAACTTAAAATTAATCACTTGTCTTCTGCTATTTTACTGTAAAATTAAAGAAGCGTATATAATTACATAGTTATAGCCAAAGTTATATATAACGTTAGGAATTTTTTAAATTAACACAATGTTACAATTAGGAGGAATCGGTTCATCTATTACATGGTAACATTGTTGTAACAATACGTTACACCAAAACTCTTCAAGGTGAATTTGTGAGTACTGTTGTACTAGTCCGTAAACTTCTAACAAGCTTGGAAAATATCATCTACACATAAATTAAAAAAAAAGCCAAAAATGTTCCAAAAATAAAAAATAATATTTCAAATCTACTTAAATATTTGAGTCCCTAATACTGGTGTTCTGAAAAGGCAATTTCCTGTCGTCAATGTTAATAACTCGATATTATGATGTCCTTATGACGGATCTATTGTCGTCCTCGTATCGTAGCCGTATCGTATTGTTGTCGGCACGTGGACGGAAACAGCCGCTTTGATGGTGAGGGGCCGTTTTTGTCCTTTCACATTTCGTATTGTTGCAAGTTCACGATAGATGGCATTGCACGTACGATATCTTAGAATTTTGTGTACTGATTAATGATTATAAAAATGGTAAAATATTAATATAAATTATATTACTAGTAATCAAAATGTAGCTCCACTCCGCAGATAGAGTGACAACCTGGTTAGATTGACGTGGTAGAGCCACGCTACGGCTATAATTAGTTTGTAGCGCGAAGGGTTCCAGCGTAGAATAGCAGCTTAATGCTACTGTGTTTCGTATCGTGAGTGTAGATAACTGGTAAAGAGTTGAACGGTAAGAATTGAGACGAACTTTTGTACTGGTAACGAGACATTTTATCTTAGTCCTCAGGGGTGACAACGCATCTACGTTTTTATTCTTAATCGAAAATAGATGTAGATGTCTATGGTTCACAGCATCCATTTACCATCAGGTGGACTGTGTGCTCGTTTATCACCCTTATTCTATTAAAAAGACGTGAAGAAGTAGATGCACGCAGGTGGCTTAGTACTATGTTTTGTGGAATTCCTTCAGTGGGCCTAAGTTCGGCAGTGGACGTGTGAAACTCTGTAATGATGATGCAAAAGTCAAGAATACAAATATTAAAACGCATTTTTATGTAAAAAGGCAAAGCAAAAACTCTTTCTGATTTCCACTTAGAATTGGTTATGTGTGGTCACATAAACCACTTTTATTAGAAGATAGGCTTTAACGTTCTCCCGCCAC